CAACTAAAGTTAACACTGTTTCTATTATTCAATACTCGATATTTTACTGAAATGTTAAATCTTTTATCTATAGAAAGGTTTTAGTTGAAAATAACCTTAATTTCAGTTACAAAAATATTTAGACCTAATTTTACGTTTAGGGAAGTAGAAAACGTTCACTATCATTACTCCTCATTCTGAGGATCGAAGCATCTGTTAAAATTTACAGGTGACCCTTCATGAGGAAAACCACCCCGTTCAAAAACATTAGGCTCAGTAGAAGACTGAGCCTAACGTTATTGTCGCGTAAGATGACGCGTAAGATGAAGCGTAAAGTGACGCTTAAGATTGGAACCGCAAGTTCAGTATCGCGAGTCTTTAAATAATTTTAAAAGAGCGAAAGTCAGGGTTCGGCATATTTACAAAAATAAGAAAAACGATTTGGATCGTTATAGTGGTCATCGGTACAAAAGATGATTTCCCAAAGTAGGTTCATTCGCAAAACTAATTTAAAACGAGGAGCGTTAGGTAGCATTTAAAAAGGTTTCTCGTTTCGACTATCCATTTAGTTCAAACAATTTTTAATAATCACTAAAATCAAGGCATTATCTCGAAAAGAAAATTCCATTTTCAAACTGATGAAAACCTCCCAACACAAATATTGAAAAAAATCAATAAGCTACAATTACCGACTAAAACAGAAATTGTGTCCAGTCCAAAGTTCATACGACTCGATTTTAATTATAAATACCAGAAAACGGCTGTCTGTGGTAGAATTTGCTCTCTTAATACAAGATGTTAGCAGAAAATACTGCAACCACCCTGTAACCTCGATTTGCATCAAGAGGCTGAAGAGTATCCGGCGTTCAAAACCACCTCGATTCTTCGTGCTGTCGTTAGCCGTTAATGGTTTGCTTAATTTAATTGCGGTATAGCACGAATTCTCATACCACTCCAAGTACTTTGACGCTATTTAATAATCTATATGTAGTGGTTTAAAGGCTATTGCCTAAGGTCGTGTGTGCACGTACAAGGAGCGCCCTGGAATGAAACTAGTACAATACTATAATACAAAGATCCTAATATTCCTTTGGCACATTTCATGGGACTAGTCAATATTCTCCTTCTCCTTTCAAGGAATCTTTACCTGATTCTATTAAGATTTCGCTATGAACTTGAGATTTCTCCTGTTCAATTAGAACTCTATATTCTTGTCTAAAGCAGTTCGTTAATTTTAGATCCAAGATAATTTCAAAGCAAAATTTCTTAACCAAAAGGACGTACAATAAGTTTCTGATAATTAAAATTATTTTCAAATTAATTATCAAAAACTATACCTAATTTTTTTAAGTACATAAGAATTATATAAAAGTAACCTGGCAGAAATATTATTAAAAACTAAAAGTATAAAATGAATATTAAAAATTCTTTCCGTAGAATTGCAGTAATTTCAAAAATCCGTAAAAGTAGAGTAGAGAATTTAAATAAAAAAAATTAATTAATAATGCATGCATTAATCAATATATGAAACACGAGTTTCTTCAATATTAAATTAGATTAAATTTAATATTAACAACATTAAATATAGGGAGTAAACTTTTAAATTTTACTTTGCTAGTGCAAACTTATTCAACACAGAGTGTTTTAAAGGTAACGAAAATATATTATAAAAAATATTAAATACAACATAGCAGATTGCAAAAAATATTCCCCAACTATTTATATGATTCCTTTTACAACAATTATAATTATTTATTTGGAAACAAATTATTATTTATCATCACGTTTTCAAAAAAAGGAAACTTGATAGATGAAAATAACTTGTATAACAGCAGTTCTATTGAAGCAGGCAGGTCACGCTAACCAAGGTGAAAACAAATCAAAGTGGTGGATATTTTTTTTTTTCTGGGTCTATTTTTTTCATTTCTTTCTCTTGAAATTCTTATTTCTCCTACAAAAGGGTATACCTTTGATTGTTTCTTAATCAATTTTTTTTATAAGAGAGCATGCATTGCCCGTTACGTGCATTTAATCTACTTTGACGGGGTAAATGACTAACCTTCGTGGCACGAGAAGCCCATGAATATCACGCAGACGTTGTTGGACGATTAAACGTCTCCAAGACGTCTGGGAGTCGAGAAATTTATTTATAACTTTGATAAAAGTAATTTGGAAAATTAATTTATTTTATTTCCGGTTACCACTTATTTTTTATTAAAAAGCTGTAAATGGATTCCCCACCAGAATTCTTGTAGAAAAAAAAACAACAGGATCATTCTGATTTAGTTTGTTTATAATAAATCAGATATGTCTTAGAGGGAAGAATTATTTTTAAGTCAAATTAATTATTTTAGCTCAGAATTTCACCTTAAAATGGGGGAATAGAGAAAGAAAAGGGGGTAATTTCTGGTGTTAGCAGAACTATAATTGTTTGTCTACCGAGACCAAACCTGGGCTTTTCACTAAAGGACATCCAAACAGCAAGAAAAAATAAATTCGAAATACTCGAAGAAAGTGAGGGATGATTAATTTCTAATTAATAGATAGACGCGTCTTACTGCCAATTTCCCTTCATTAATCATAGAAACAGATTTGAAGCAGAGAATATTTCACTGACACTTAGTTTGCCTAAGCTTCCCAGGGATTGATGCCACAAACATAATGTGCGTCAGAAAATCAATAATCCGTCACATCTTGTTAAAACACCTTTATAATATTCCGAGCACAATTTCTTTAAATAAGACCTGAAGATGATTTTTAAAAAAATCAAATTTTTTTTTAAAAATCCTATTTAAAATACAATCACGTACGACATTTTGAGTGTTATCAGCTACAAAACGATAGTATTGAAATATTTTTCAAATATTCAAATTTCTTCAAATCCTTCTTGAAAAAAATTCTCTTTAAAATTCAAATAATTATATTCTAATATAGTTGAAAAATATTTTTCTAGAATCCTAAAGGTTTAATTATATAAAACAATGAACAGTTGACTCGTGTAGCATTGAAATCGTGCTTTATCTAGGACTCACCTCTTCATATAATAATGAGAGGTAGGAGAAATACACGGAAGGGGAGATCGAAGGAAGACAGTGCGAGCGGGTGGTGAGATACGAGAGTTTAAATAACTGCAATGTCGAGGAGATAAGGAAGCTTTCCGAGCAAAGTTACCCGTTTACAAAGTTAGCGTGCTCGCAAGCACTATTGTTTCGCTTATTGCGCCGATCGCTATGAGTTTTCGGCGTTGGCATAAGTGAAGGAGAATTCGCTCGCTCGCAATCGCAATCTAATATAGCGTCAAATAATTATATAGAGATATGTATTGTATATATGCATCCATATAGTGGAAAGCGTAAACCGTAATAATAGGCGCTGCATTTAACAAAGATTCTAAAACCCCTTCTCCTTCCACTTTAAACTGCTATTGCTCTCTTTGATTTAGGAGCGACTATACTAAAGCGAACCATTTTAAGTACATTTTCAAATTTCACGATCATTAAACTTCCCAAACAGATATATTATATCGTTAAATATTTGTGCAGATCATTACGGTCATTACGGATTATCTAGAAACAATTTATTAACAATCAAGTTTCATTTCTATTTTCCAGAAAGTCTGACTCTTTTCTTAAAATTCGAAATGGATGTAACACTTTTTTTCGAATAAAAAAAAAACCAATTATTACCTCTGCGGACTGAGGTTAAATCTATAATTCTCTTAAATCCATCGATTAATCACGAGATAATCTTTCAATAAAAATAAATCCACCTAATTTTTTCATTTCCCATAAATAGTTTTTATCAAAAAAAATTTTAGTGCTTTTACAGGAAGAAATTCATATTTTTCGTGTTACAAGTGGAGTGCTCCCTTAATAAACCATTTGACTCCTGCTATAAATACTGCTTTGTTTGTTATTTTACTACTAAATCATACAAAAAAAACAGGATCAATAAATTCTCATGCAGTTCACATCGTTATTCTTTAATGAAATTCACCCTAGTCGTGTTTCTTTTAGATTTTAGGTTAACAATTAAGGTTGGGGTAAGTGTCAAGACACTCTTGTTGTGCTCGAATACAAATTGTCAGTAATTTTTGATTTAACGAAATCAAGATTAGAAATAAGTATAATTATGAATGTATTTTGTTTTCCAATAATTTTCCCCTTTCATTAAGAATTAATTCAATGATTCTTTGATATCTTAAAATTATTTAATCTCCAAATTATTATCATTAACATTTTTTAAATTAACATGATCCAAATTGACATTTTCCAAACAGATTTCTATTAAAAAAACAGGAAAGAATAACAATGTATAGTTTTATTCTAGCATGTGAAATGCAAATTGATGATAATATGACTAAAATAGAGGACTCTAATCATAGGATTGCTATTCCATTCACTGCTCTTTGACCGCTCTCAATTGAAATATTCCATTTTGATTATGATGGTGAGAATCGACAACCTGATTCATGCAGAAACACACCAGCCAAAGTTGATTTAATGCATATGAAGATTATACAAGATTTAATTCAATTTCCGTTTCAGTACTTCCGTTCAGCATTTGCAACACGAACGAGTTAAACATAAAATTTTAGTTTTCGTGTTTACAATGAAAACAATGAATTTCGACTTTTTCTAAATAATAAATTCATTAACATATTTTATTACTGCATTATTAATATATCTAAACATTGTAATTTAAATATTCATTTTGCAATTAACATATCAGATAACATATTTCTAAAAATATTAACAATTCACGATTATTATTAATAAACGAATGAATATGGAAAAGTGCATTGATTATACCTCTTGGGGTTTGAAAGTTTTAACTTTCAGTATTACTTGTTTCATAACGGTGCATTTTGCTCCAAACATTCCAAAGCTCGAAACTAACGACTTAGCAAAACTTTTACGAATAATTCGGTGCCATGTCAGTTGTGCTATAAGAGTCAGTGTCTAAGGTGAAACGTGTGGCAGCTGTACGAGGCATTGTTCCTTAGAGAAATAAATGCAAATGAAGCCATAGTCGGCAGTCTTGTAAACTGTTAAGGCGTCGCATGTTACTTATGTACATTGGGGTATATAAGGATTATTCGAGAAAACAGCAAATCTGCACTTCTTGACATAACTTTCCTTTAACAACATCAACATGTCCTTACACGTCCCTACAGTTTAAGAACTAATTTAAAATTCTCTTTTACAAACCCTTGCATTAAAACTTACCCGTCTTTAGTGAAATCTTTTTCAAATTCTATCCAAACTCATATCATCTAAAGTTTTACTCTCGGTTTTACTATTTTAAACTTCAAAACAATTCAAAAAGAATGTGACACAAAAACATATTTCCCAAGAATCAATCTTATTGTAATTATAATTAAACTCCCCCCCCCCCATCAAGAGAACCCTTACAAAAATGATTTGTAATTGACACAATTGCAGAATTCATCACCTTGACGTTGGTTATTATTTAAAATTCAAATAAAAAATTCACAGAGTTAAAAGTCCAGGAAACCGTCATTTAAGCAGATGCGGTTTTCTTTTCTCCAGAAAGAGCCGTCAACTTCACGCTTTAATTTCTTTTGAGTACCGTCGCGATCTTTCTTCGTGCCATCCAGCCGTAAAGGATGACAAATCGCAGCTATTTTTCTGACTAAAGTTTCAAAGCTTCCACCACCCTTTAACCGACATTTATCCTCCACCTTGACACTCACTTCTTCTCTACCGCGAAATTCTTTTTCTTATATATTCCCAAAGAGAGGCACATTTTGCAAAACACCGGAAATGATAACCCATTCATAAATTACAAATAATTTTTATATTTTCCAATAACTTTTTTATTTTTCAAAAATTCTTTTTCAATAATTTTCATCAAAATTTATTTCAAAAGTTCAATTTTTGCACACAGAAAAACTAATAAGATAAATGATATTTTTCATCTGGAAAAAGTAATATAATAATAATTTTTTGCCTCAGTAAGAGAAAATTGGTCCAACTTTTTAAATTGTTGTTTCAAGCATTATTAAAGTAAAACGCAAAATTGTAATTTATGACTTAGTTAATCTCAAGAAACATAAGTTTAAAAGTTACTGAAAAAGGGGACTGGAAAAACTTTTTATTTACAAAACAGAAAGTGCAAAGTTTTTCTCTCAAAAAAAAGTCGTATCTGAATAAGAGTTTATTTTTATAAAAAGTTCGGATCTTAATTTAATCTATAAATTCGATTTTCCCAGACTGCAAAAGTGAATAAAGAATTCAAATTTCTAATCATTAAAGTCCGTCTCGTCAAAGTTTTATTGATCTAATATCGTTTCCAATTTCGAAAATATTAAATTAATTTTTCGTGTAAATCCTATCGACTCATTTTAAATTAAATCAAAATGAAAAAGTTACTTCAAAAAAATTATTATTTCCGTAAATAATTAAATTAGTATTAAAATAATTAAATACATTTTTATCTTAAACAACAAAAGTTGCAATTTTCTATATTCTCTTAACACCTGGAAAATAAAGAGTCGTGTTTCAACTGTTCTCAGTGAGTTTCGCGAAGTACTTGAGGTTTTGACATTTAATTAAGGTAATGGCCAGCATGGTGGGAAACAAACAGAGCAAAACAGATTTCATTTTCACAAAAGAGGCGAATAACTACATTTACGAAAGTTGCGGGCAATATACTCTCTAAATCTGAATATGTGAAAATTCACATATTTGTACGTTATAAGTCGTCTTCTCGATCAATAAGTGCATATACACTTATAATAAGTGAAATTTCACTCAGAATAAGTGAAAAATTCACTTATTTATAAGTGTATATGCACTTATTGATCGAGAGGACGACTTATAACGTACAATAAGTGAAATTTCACATATTCAGATTTAGAGAGTAATAAATTAAAATTAAATCGTTTATGGCTATGAATCCTTAAGTATCGATAATTTTCCACTTGATTTAAAAAAAAAAACCTTAAAAGCTCTTTTTATTAACAAATTTAAAAAGTTTACTAAATCAGGATTGCCACAGAAAAAATTAATTTTCTTTTTCCCTGATTTCCAGACAGAATTTTAACTTTTTTTCTGACAATAAAGAATATTTTGATTCACTCTAAAAATTATTAGAATACTTTCTCCATAAGAATTAAAATTCTTCAAAAACATTCAAATTCAATTATTTTTAAAATTCAACAACTTATGACAATATTATTATAAAACATGAAGATATGAATCACTCCCGAGTCTTCGACTCGGAGTAATTGATATATTCATGTTTTATAAAAATTTAGATTTTCATAAAATTTTTCAAAAAAAAAATTAAATTATTTACAAAAATTATAATAAAATTCGTTAGGGGCTGACCATAAATTACGTAAGACAATTTTTTTTGGAAAAATTAAACCCCCATCCCCCCTCGTAAGATATTTTACATGCATTAGCGCCATTTTTTCTATTGTTCGTAAGATCTTGGTGCCCCCCTCCCCTTAAATATCTTACGTAATTTATGGACAGTTTCTTATAAAAATTCCATTATTTTCATAAATTATAAAAATTTTCTAAGGATTTCAATTATTTTCAATACAATTTAAAATAAAATCCTACAAAAATAAAAATTATTTTTTAAAATTTTTTGCAAGAATTTAATTACATTTCACAAATATAATGAAGTTCTTCGTTGAAATTCAAATATTTTCGAAAGCTACAATTTTAATAAAAGTTCTCAAAAAAATTCAATTATTTAAAAAAAAATGTAATGAAATTCGTTGCAGGAATTCAATTATTTTCAAAAATCATAAGATTCTTTACATTATTTCAATTATTTAAAAAAAATTGATAAAATTTATTGCAAGAATTCAATTAATTTCATAAATCAGGATTTTCAATTATTTGTTATACAATTTTAAGTAAATTCTTCGAAAAATGTAATTATTTTCAAAAATTTTATTAAAATTCTTATTCAAACGAATTCAATTATCAATTATTTTTAAAAATTCGTTGTGGGAATTCAATTATTTTCATAAGTAATAAAATTCTTTACATTATTTCAATTATTTAAAAAAAAAATTGATAAAATTTGTTGCAAAATTCTACGAGAATTCAATTATTTAAAGACAAAAATAAATAATTTACTGAATAAATAAATGTTTCTCTAAATTGAATCACTTTAAAAAAATTTATTAACAATTGAATTTTTTCAAAGATTAAAATTCTATGATGAGTTTTATTATTCATGAAAATAATTGAATTTTTGTAAAAAAAAAAGTTATTTTTTAGGAAAATAACTGAATTATTGCGAAAAAAGTTCTAAAAAAAATTTTTAAATAGTTGAATTTCTGTGAAATTTGTATTATTTATGAAAATAATTTAATGTTTGCTTAGAATTCTATCAACATTTTTTTTTTTTTTTGCAAATAATTGAATTCTTTTGAAAAATTTTATTAAAATAGATATTGAAAATTATAGAATTAAGGAAAATTTTTTGGAAAATAATTGAATTTCATAGGCGAATTTTATTATTTTTAAAGATAATTGAATTTTGACGATAATTGAATTTTTTTTAATTTTTGAACATAATTGAATTTTTTTAAAAAATTTTTGAACATAATTGAATTGAGACGTCTCGGCGCTCAAATTTTTTTCAGTGTACGTTACCAATTTTTCAGATATTTTAGACCCCCCCTCCCTACCTAAATTGGTAACGTAGTTTATGCATGGCCCCTCATTACTTTTGAAAAGAATTTGAATTTCTGCAATCATTTGTAACTTCTTCAAAAATCAATTTTTGTCCAGTAGGGGAGAGTGTCTAGTTGTGAGACACCTCCAGTTGTGAGACAGTCGATTTTTTTCACACGCAATATTAAATTAAATATTAATAAATAAATTAAATTATTAATATATTTAATTATTTATACTAAACATAACGTTTGATGTCAAACTTTTTGAATTTTAGTAATTTTTAATAAGTGTCTCACAACTGGACACATATTTTTTTTTTTGACAAAAGCGATTTTTTTAGTTCATCTGAACACTATATACTTTCTTTGAATAAAAGTTGCGTATTTAAGTTACTTTTCGAACGGTATATTTTATTTCCAATTTCGTTTATTCATTTACAATTTATGAGTCAAAAACAAAACCCGTCTCATACCTTAGACACACTCCCCTGATTTAATAAAAATTACTGAATTTTTCCCGATTTTCCTGACCAATTTTACTTTTCCTGACTTTTTCCTGATTTCCCTGACCTGTGGCAACTGATCTCGATGGAATTCGTTGATTCAAATGCGCCCATCCCCAATGATAAAAATTTTGCAACAATAATTCCATATCCTTCAAGGTTTTCACATTGATGCAAAATTACCAATTAAAAGGTTCTCTCTTTATAACGTGCATTCTTTTTCAGCAACGGATAAATGACTATAATGCTTGATAATTTGTTGGCCGAGGAGTTTAATTTGTTTTAAAGCAGTTTTCCTGCGAAAAAGAATCTCAAACTCTCGGCAGTGAAGGAGAGAAAAAACTAATAAAATTGTATTACAAAGTGGAGCATTTACAAAGATTATCCATTATAAATTCCACTGAGATATTCGTGGAACCCATGAGGAACAATGAGGAACCATGAGGAACCATAAGGAAAAAAACCATTAAAAAAATTTATTACAATTAATAGTTGTAAATAAAAGTAAAACTGACCTAACAGTACATAAAAATAACAAAATATAAGGGATTCCTTCTAAAAAGAAATTTGAGATTAAAATCACTGTTGTATGTGTATGAATGAGGATATAAATCTTGCTAGGTGGTGATTGCTGTTACCGCAGATAGAACGGTGCTTAGAAAGAGTAATGAGTGCGCTTGGATCTGTATGGGCTTTACGGACAAATAGTACATTGTATCATCAAGAGCTGGATCATGATTGGAGTCTGACCATGCGAACGAGAACTTTAACGTGTGAAATTCCGATTAGATGATTCTGTAGAGGATTTGGAAAGTACAAAAGCAGAAGGATTGGAACGTGAAGGGATGCCGGGAATGGATAGTATGATAAGCCCCTAATTGTGGTTCGATAGATGGACTAGATTCGTCCTAGTGGAAATTAATGACACCTTGCGTGTTAGAAACCACAAGTATTTGTTTTTTTTATCTCCCCTTTTTTCCAACTGAACTTCTCAGCTAAAATTAATTTCATTACCTCGATGATGTCCTTATCAGATTACTGTACCTATATACCTATCATAACAGAAAATCTTTTGGAATCATTAAAATCGTCAGAACTTATGAATAACAATTCCGAGAAGGAAATTTAATTGAAGTTTAGAAATATTTTTCGTCAAATGTTGTAAAAGGGGGTAAAAAGTGACCATTATGCCAGTCAACAAGTTTTGCTAAAGCATCGACAGAGGGTAGTTTGCCAAAGCGGTATCAAGTTGATCTAAATGATGTAATCGATGAGGACAAAAACGTTTTCAATTCGGTTGATATCTATTGCCCATGCACAAAACGAGAATGATATACAGACGCCTAGCATCAACGCACGTACAACGAAAATGCCAGTGCGCAATCGAAACAATGACCCAATTGCGATAGCTGCGGATTCGAGGTCTGCAATTTCCATTTAACGCAGTTGTCTGTAAGCTCAATGTGTGATTAGGTTTTAGTTGTATCGAATAGGCTTCGTCATCGTTACACCAACACTGACAGTCCGCATATGTATAAGATATTCATTAGCGCTAAGTGGACAACCAATCCAACGAAAACCCTTCCTTTCACTGCCCCCCCCCCCAACACTTTATAGAAAAATATTTCCAATTTTTCTTTATTTTACCCATCAAAATTTACCTTTTCAGGGTTACCGCAAAAATTTAATTTTGTAGCAAAAAAATTTCCCTGATTTACAGAAAAAATTTTGTCCCTTAACCAGACCATTATTCTAATTCACTCCAAAAATTATTAGATTTTCAAAAAAATTCAGATTTTCAAAGATTTTAATTTGAACCCTTTTCAAAATAATTCAAAAATATTTTTCTTAATCTAGAAAAAATTATTAATGTAAAATTAAAATTAATTAAAATTAATTAATTATTAATTATTCATTATTTCTTTGTTTCTAAAAAAATTAGCATTTTATAACAAACATTTTAGGTAATTAAAAAATGTAAATCCTGCAAAATATTATCCTTTTTTTATCATGAAAAACTTATTTAATTGTTTGACAAATCGAAATTATGTATCTATTTTTTTTTTCTTTCTGCAAAAAAATTTAAAAATTGTTAGAAAGTAGAAAATATTTTGCACATTTTCTGCTTCTCAATAATTACAATTCATAAACAAAGTACAAGTTTTAAGTAAAAAAAAAAATATAAATCAAATTTTGTTTAAGAAATTTTAAATTTATTTTTGAAAAAATATTTAGAAAATTTCTATTTATTAAAAACTATTGTAAAATTATTCAAAAACATCAATAACTTTTTTTCTAAATAAATATTTAATCATTATATTTTTCCACAGGAATAAAGATTTTCAAAAATTTCAAATTCAAACCTTTTTGAAATTTAACAACTTATAAATTTAGATAACCGAGTGATAAGATCATTATTTTATATATATATAATAGAAATATTTTTCCTATAATTTTTTCAAAATTATTTTCATCATTTTAATTCAATTATTATTTTCTAGAATTTTTAAATAAAATTCTTCTTTAAATCAATTATCTTTAATAATTTTATAAAAAAGTTCTTTCAGAATTTTCAAATCCATTTGTTTACAATTCAATTTTACGTGAAAATTCAATAATTCAGAAATTCTCCAATTAAATACGTATTAAAAAATAAATACTTCAAATAATTTCAGAAAAAAATTCAATTAAACTTTTTCAAAATAATTAATTCTACAGAATTGTATGAAAAATTTAAACTACCAAAGAATTTAATTTGAAACCTTTTCAAAATTCAATTATTTCTTTAAATTCATGTTTTTAATATTCAAATATTATTTGAATATTTAAATAATTTGAATAATAAATATTCAAATCTAAAATTTTAATTGAAATTCATTTTTAAATCAATTTTTATTAGAAAATTCTACGAGAATTCAATTATTTAAATGCAAAAATAAATAATAAATAATTTATTGAATAATGAAATATTTCTTAAAATTGAATTTTCTTAAAACAATTTATCAAAACATTTTTAAATAATTGATTTCTTTTGACGTTTTTTATTAAAATTGTTAAGAACAATTACATTTTTCGAGGAATTCGATTAAAATTGTATTAAAAATAATTGAAGTTCTGCGATGAGTTTTATTTATAAAAATAATTGAATTCCTAAAAAGAAATTTATTATTTATGAAAATAATTCAATCCCTTTAAAAAATTTGATTATTTATTGAAAATAATTTAAATATTGCGAAGAAATTTATAAAAAATTTATAAACAATAGAATTCATATAAAATTGAGGAAAATTTTTGAAAATAATTGAAATTTTGCCAAAAATTTTATTAAAAATTTTTAAAAAATTGTATTTTGCCAAGAATTTTATTAAAAATTTTCAAAATAATTGAATTTTGGAAAAGAATTTGATTACTTTTGAAAATAATTGAATTTATTTTTAAATAATTGAATTCTCGAGAGAAATTTTATTATTTATGAAAATAATTGATTTCTTGTGAAGAATTTTATTCACATTTTTTTAGATAATTGAATTGCCATAAAAAATGTATTATTTATGAAAATAATTGAATTCTTAAAAAGAATTAATTGTATTGAAAATAATGGAATTATATATAGAAAAATTGTATTAATATTGTAATTTTATTAACTAAATCTTGTAAAGAATTTTGTCAACATTTTTTCAAATAATAAAATTTTTAAAAGAAGTTTATTTAAATTTTTCGAAATAATTGAATTTTTCAGAACTATTTTTTTTTATTTTCTGAATATGTTTGAATGAGAAACTTTATTAAAAAGTTAAAAATAATTAAATTGGTGCGAAGAAATTTATAAAAAAATTGATAAGTAATTGAATTTCAATTATTTTCGTAAATTTTCCTCATTTCAATTATCTTTAAAAATAATAAAAAATATTTTTAAAGATTATTGAATTTTGACGAAAATTCTTTTTTTAATTTTTGAACATAATTGAATTTTTGCGAAGAATTTTATCACATTTGAAAATAATTAAATTTCTACAATTAGTTGTTCTTCAAATTTCTATTAAAATTCATTAAAAATTGATATTTTCTAAAATTTCAAATTGAAAAAAATTTTCTCATTAATTTCAAAAAATTAAATTTTTTCTAGTACTTTTAATAAAAATCCCTGACTTTTCCCTGACCTGTATATGGCAACCCTGCTTTTATATTCAAGACCACAAAATTTAATAATAATTTAAAAGGGAATGAAATTTTTTTTTACGCAACAAATAAAAAAATATATAAAAAAAACCTTTTTTGATTGTAAATGGCTTTTTCTACTAAAACATGTTTTTATTAAAACTTCAATTAAAATGAAGGATTAAATACTATGACTTTGCAGAAATTAAGGGCAATTAAAATTCACAGAGAATCAATTTTAAACCATTTCACTTGGAAAGCAATTTATTTTTTGTTTTTTGTATACTATTAACGAATATTAAAAAAAAAATGCAACGTGAATTACGAAAACCAGTAAAAATTATTAATTTTATATTCTGGATAGATATAAATCGAGAAACGGGCAATTAATTTATTTACTCCCAATAAAAATTAACCTATTAAAGCAAAAGTAATAATCTAATAATAAAAAACCATATTTATAATAAATATCTATATATGGAAATTATTATAATTAAAAAGTAATTATTTAATCTACTAAAAGTTTGTATAATTTCTTTTATCAAAAGATCTGGAGCACACATGTTTTAAGAAATGTAAACAGTTTTTTTTTATATAATATCATACAGAATCTGGCCGACTTTTCAGAATTATATGCAAAAAAAATAAAGTAAATAATTGTAATTTTACATTTTATCTGTAGTATTGTTTTAGGCTTTGATAGTGGAACAAGTTTTTTTTTATCGTTTCTCGAAAAGTGCTGAAGATGTTACGTGTAGTCTGAAACTTGTGTTGTAGATGTTGATGTCATTTTAATACAACGGTAGTCAAAATATTTTCAAAAAATTTTTATTTTTTTTTAATTTTTTAAAAATTTTGTTTTTATTTTTTGTTTTAATTTAATTTTTTTATTTGTCACATTTTTAAAATTAATAAGTTTTACTCAAAAAAATTTGTATTTAGAAAAAAACCAACATGGAATTAAATTTTATAAAGTGTTTCCTATTGATTGTTTTGTGTCCAACTGTTTGGTCAGCAAGCACACTAAAATTAATAAGTATAGTAAGTCACTTGCTTTATTCACTTTTAAAAAAAAATTCATCAACGAAAAAATAATTTTTGAAACCCTAATTCTAGGTTTTTCGTCATGGAGATCGAACGCCAGTTCCTCCCTTCGAACTTTATCCCAAAGATCCACACAAAAAGTATAAATTTACTCCTCCGGGTTACGGGAAATTAACGGAAGTAAAGAAAATTGAAAATATCGAAAACAAATATGCTTGTTAATTTCTTTTTCTTTTTTCTTAATTTATTTCTCAAACGATTTCAGGGTGGTCAATTAAGAGCGAATAGTTTGGGAATTTTTCTTCGAAATACTTATAACGAATTCTTGGGAGCAAATTACACCGCAGGATTCATAGAAGCACGAAGTACGAAAGTTAATCGAACACAGGAATCCCTGAAATTTGTCCTCAAGGGTTTATATCCAGGAGCTTCTGTATCAGCAATTGTTAATCCCTCCTATAGAGATCGTTTATTCTTTCCTCAAACATGCATCAGGTATAAAAATTCAGATAGAAATTTAGAATTAAGAAAATAGCAGACTTTTGCACTCGATAATTAATTTTTAAAAAATAGCAAAAAGTATCTTTCAAATTAAGAAAAAGTAGTAAAACAGTAGATATCGAAAAATTAAACTTGACAACAACGAAAACACAAAACTGATAAAAATTCAATTCCATATTTTATTTTCCCGACTTTTTCCTTATTTTTATCAAAAATATTTACTTCTTTCTTATCCTGATGCTAATAAATTGAATTCCGGCAACGAATTTTATTATTCATCAAAGAATTTAAATATTTATAAAAATAATAGCAGCATAACTTAAAAGTAATAAATATTAGGTTTTAGTAGATGAGTGCAAAGCCTGAAATAGAAATATTCAATTCAAGATAATTGAAAGCTTACAGAACTCTTCGAGTTAGACATAAACTAATAAAAAAAAATTTTTAATAAATTTTTAAGATACGATTTGGAGTATTTAAAGGCAAGAAAAAGCCAAGATGTAAAAGAGGAATTGAATAGATTAAGGGATTTTAGAAAAAATTTAACAGATTGGACGGGAAAAAAGATAAAAAGCGCCCTCGACATGTATTTAATTTACACAACTCTAGAATGCGAAAAGTTTATGAATCTGACATTACCACCTTGGACCATTGGAGTCTATCCAGATGGTGATCTCCTAACCGGAGCTGTTCTCGAAAACAAAATAATGAATTACAACGAGAAAATGATACGCCAAAATGGAGGTGAGATAACCATAAATACATTTCATCCCTTATTGCTAAATGCTATTAAATTTTTGCTATTTTTGCAAGAATTGAGAAAATAATCCAAACAAAAATAACATTAGGAATGCTGGTGAAAAAATTCATAACCGACATGGAAGCAGTTAGAAATGGATCAATGGACAAAAATAGAAAACTAATGTTATATAGCGCTCATGATATTACCGTTACTGCAATTCTAACGGCTCTGAATGTTTATTATCCACACATACCCAAATTTACCTCTGCTGTAATTGCAGAATTACATTTTATAGAGAATAGATTTTTCGTAAAGGTACAGAAGTTACAATCAATTAGATCAGAAAAACAATTGACTTTTTTAAAATACTTTTATAACAAAAGAATTAAAAAATAATTTTTCATTTGCAGATTTTATACTATTTGGGAGTACCTGCAAAATTGACAGAATTACAAATCCCAGGTTGTAATGTTTCATGTCCTCTAGACGAATTTATCACCCTGACTAAAAGAATTGTTCCCGTTAATTTGAATTCCTGCGATCGAAATTAGAATCCATTCTTGAATCAATACTATAAAATATTTATACAAAAAAATCACTACAGAACGATAATAATTATAATTACAAAACTATTACAAAACTTAAAATTTAAATCATAATTCAGTGCTATTTTCAAGTACTCTGTATGGTAATTTAAATTTACCCCCAAGAACCAAAATGTGTAAAAGTTTCTGTAAAAGTTTCTTAAAATAAGTTGTCGAAGAAACATCTATTTAAATAAAATAATTTTTTAATTTTCGAATTGTTTAAATAAAGCCCACGGTTTTTGCATCTCTTTATTTACTATTTATCTATCTACTTTATTGAGAAACTAAACTTGCATCATTGCGTAAGCAACATTAACAAATTTATTGGTACAATTGGAAAATATATGAATTAATATTATAATCATAATAGATTCTTCCACAAGAAATATTTTTTTGTTTATCAATTCGAATATTCTATATATGACGTCACTATCTTTTTCATTTTATTTGATAATATTTACATTCTTTATATTAACATAAATAATCAACTTTTATTTGATATGCTAAATAAGTTAATAGATAATTTAATGAAATCGCATGCGCGAAACATCTATTTCTTTACTATATTAATAGGTCTACTATATTCCCTCTTTCATCAAGTTTCAACTTATCAGCTATCGTACATTTGATTTTATTTCGCAATATTTTATTAAAAATTAATCATTAATCAACAGGTAATAATAATTAATAAAAATTACTAATGAAAATAATTAACAAAATCAAATTATTGCAATTGGTTTTCAATTTTAGGTGATAATAGAAATCGCATAGCAATAATGTATCGTTTGATTAGCACTTTTTATATGATGGGGAGTTTAATAATAGAATCACCTCTTGAGACCAAAGATAATCTAAAACAAATGCAACCACCTCTTAAAATCGAAAATACTCTAAAGCAAGTCAGTGTGGTAAGTGTTCCTCAAAATTTATCTGAATTTTATTTTATTTATTGTAATTTTAATTATAATTTTAATTATAATTTTAATTATAATTTGAAAACTACGATGTAATAACCATCTTTTTTAAAATTAATTCCTACAGGTGTTTCGTCATGGCGATCGTACTCCAATTTTACCACGTGAGACCTATCCAAATGATCCTTATAAAAATCATACATTCAGTGATGTACCCTTTTCTATATTAACTGAGGTGAGAAAACGATAAATAAAATAACATAATTTACCAACAACAACAAAATTACTTTACTTTATAAATTAATTTTTAAATCCATCAACAGAATTAAAAAGAAATAATTATTTCTAAACCTTCCAGAGTGGAAAACAAAGAGCTTACAGATTGGGAAAATATCTCAAAACCACGTACAGTAAATTTTTAAACAATAGATTTACACCATACACAGTTGAAGCTCAAAGTACAAATGTTAATCGAACAAAAGAAACTCTTAATTTTGTACTAAAGGCTTTAAATTCTGATATTACGTTTCCAGATATAATTACTAAGCCTGTAGACAACGATTCTCTCCTAATACCTTGTGATCAGTACGTATAATACTTTTTTGCTTCAATTAAAACATTCAATTCAATTTTTCTAAAAATGAAAATTTTAATTAAATTTTATTGAATATTCAATTTAGTTTTATTGAATTTTCAATTTAATTTTTGCAAAAATTAAATTTTTTCTGACATGGTCAAATTAATGGCACATTATATTTTATATGCGTCAATATTTGCAGATATTTTCTAGATTACTTGAAAATAAGTGCAGAATTTAATATGAGGTTCGATCAGAAAGTACAAAACTTTACGAGTGTTTTATCAAACTTTATTGGAAAAAATATTACTTCTGTCGGTCAATTTCATTCATTGTATTCAACATTAGAAGTTGAAAAATACCTTAATCTTACATTACCATCATGGACTAAGGACTTCTTTCCCGATGGTACCTTAGTAATGGGATGCGGATTGTCGTATACATTCTTTAACTACGATGACAATATGAAGAAACTTAACGGAGGTAAAAAAAAACCTAAAAAATTACATCCCACTAAAAAATTAATATTACTATTAATTAAAATGTTATTAATAATAATATTATACTATGTTAATAATAATAAAATGTTATTAACTATATTTTTCTTGTTTTGAATTTCGCGCCAATATAGTTTCATGAAATTGTCACCTAGGCGGCATGAAAATTCTCTCACAAACGAAATAAATCGAATAGAGAACATGAAGTAAGCTGCTACTATATAAAATTATTTCTAATTTGGCGTTGTTTTCAATTTTCCAGGAATGCTGATTAGAAAATTTATAAATGACATGCTAGCTGTAAAAAATGAAGAGATGGGAAATAAATTATTCCTCTACAGCGCACACGATGTTACTGTTGTGGCCGTTCTGAAAGCTCTTGGAGTTTACTTTACTCATGTACCAAAATTTTCAAGTGCAGCTATTCTAGAATTGCATCAAATTAAGGAAGATTATTTTATCAAGGTATTCACAGATCTTCTTTTACGTAATTAACATACTTTTTTGTATTCAAAAATTTGAAACACATATTTAAAAAGTATTTTTTTTCCATAACTAAATGAAAATATTTTTTGCAGCTTGTCTACTATTTAGGTGTACCAGAAAAAACAATGGATTTAACAATTCCAAATTGTAAAACTATGTGTCCTTTAGAGGATTTCATTCGTTTAGTGGAAAAAGTTCTACCGCAAGAATTGACCTACTCTTGTCCTCCATTCGAGTTGAAAGAAGAAGATTTAATTTATGAACAAGAACTTTCGAATTACATGAAACTATTGAAATTATCGTTTTCATAAAAAAAGCATCATAACTCGATTTTGAATTACACGCCATTTTAACGTAAATTTCCGCCAGATGGCAAGTAAAGTCTCTCGCAAGCGAGAAACGTCTGGATCGAGTATAAATAGCAGCGACTAGTCAAGAATGAGTTCGATTATCGTTCCTTTTTTCATTCTCTAACAATTTTTATAATTTTCGATTCTACTAGACAAGAAAACTAAATCGAAATTTAGTGTTCAAATAAACAAAGTAAATCCATATCTACATCAAATGAACATAAGTTAAATTATATCATAATTTATTTTATAAAATTATATGCTGTAAATATTAATAAATATTTTATAATGTAAATTTCACCACAGCTCCATCATGTACAGAATAATTATTTGAATTAAAAATAATAAATTAATAATTTATAAACAAATTTGTATTTTTTTAAATACGAGAAAAAATCGGGAAAAATTTCTTGTTCAAGAACCGAATATGGAAATTATATAATTAATAATTAAGTTTTCGTTTCCATTCTGCAGGAGAAAAATAATATCACTTTGTAAAATAAGAGCGGATGAGACATTATTCAGAAAAGAAAACTTGTAATTAAATTATGCAATTATATTTTAATTACATTTTAAATGTTTAATTAGTTGCATATAGAAAGTTCAACGTCTGTGGTACGAGACATTGACCAGTGACAATGCTATGCTTACAAGGATGCAAATCACTGAAAAAAGCGTACCGCGATAGCTGGTCATATGCATTAATTCTTATGAGCGATAATTCCCAATTAGTCCTCGTTTTCCAAGTCTTGGATGCATATTGGGCACAGCATTCCTCAAAGCATACTTCCGAGTTATCACTTGTCCTTTTTAAAAAATTATCATCTGTTTTCTCTTTAAACCGTCAGACTTTATAGTACGCAATGCTTTCGATAAAAAAATACAAGAAAATTTATCACTCTTCACCTAATTGACGAACCGAATTTGCGTCATTGCTTAAACATCAATTATTGGCACAGTTGGTAAATATATATATATATTGATTTTATAATCATATTAGTTTTATAAGAAATATTTTTTTTCTACGAATTACAATATTCTAAAATATGACGTCAATATTCTTTTCATCTTATTTAAAAATTTACAACGTTCATATAAGATTAACAGTCGATTATTAACATAAATAATCAACTTTATTTGATATTCTAATACAAAGAAGTAATAGATAATATAATTAAAACGCATGCGCAAAATATCTATTTCTTTGCTATATTAATGAGTTAACTATTTCCGCTTTCATCAAGTCTCAACTATCGCCCATTGCATTTAAATTTTTAAAAAATTTATTAAAAATTAATCATTAATTAACGGGTAATAATAATTATTATTATTACAATTGCTTTCAATATCAGGTGATACAAACAATCGCATAGCAATAATGCATCCTTTGGTTACCACTTTTTACATAGTAGGGAAATTAATAGTGCAATCACCTCCTGAGACCGAAGATACTCTAAAATTTGCCAGTGTGGTAAGTGTTCTTTAACATTTATCTTAATTTAATTTTATTTATTATAAATTAAATTATAATATTAATTATAATTTTAATTACAATTTAAAAACTACGATGTAATAATCGTCTTCTTTTAAATTAATCCTTACAGGTATTTCGTCATGGCGATCGTACACCAATTTTGCCACTTGAAACCTATCCAAATGATCCTTATATAAATCATACATTCAGTGATGTACCCTTTGCAATATTAACTGAGGTGAGTAAACGACAAATAAAATAACATAATTTCCAACAACAACAAAATTACTTTACTTTAAAAATAAAATTTTAAATCCATCAACAGAATTAAAAAGAAATAATATTTTCTAAACCTTCCAGAGTGGAAAACAAAGAGCTTACAGATTGGGAAAATATCTCAAAACCACCTACAGTAAATTTTTAAACAATAGATTTACACCATACACAGTTGAAGCTCGAAGTACAAATGTTAATCGAACAAAAGAAAGTCTTAATTTTGTACTAAAGGCTTTAAATTCCAATGTTACATTTCCAGATATAATTGCTAAGCCTGTAGACAACGATCCTCTCTTAATACCTTGTGAAGAGTAAGTACAATAAAATAATAATAATAAATTAATTAATAAATAGTAGACTTTATTAGATTATTTACATGTAAATACTTGCAGATATCTTTTAGAATTTTTGAAAGTGCAAGATAGAGTTAAAGGGAAGTACAGTGCGTATTTTCAAAAACATATGAAGAGTTTAACAGAGTATACTGGCAAAAATATTACTAGAGCCCTTGATTTACATGCTTTATATACAACATTCGAAACTGAAAAATATCATAATCTTACATTACCATCATGGACAAAGGTCTTTATTACCGAAGGAGTCTTGGTAAAGGGATGTGCATTGTCGTATACATTTTTCAACTACGATGACAATATGAAGAAACTTAACGGAGGTAACAAACTTAAAAAAAATTACATCCCACTCAAACAAAATCTATTTAATTTTACGAAACATATTCAACAGTATTTCTACACGAATTTTGATAAAAATCAAGTATAATTTTACCCAATTAGTTTTTATAGAAATTAAATAAATATATTTTTTTCCAGGAATGCTAATTAGAAAATTTATAAATGACATAATAGCTGTAAAAAATGGAGAATTGGCAAAAAAATTATTCCTCTACAGCGCACACGATATTACTGTTGTAGCCGTTCTAAAAGCTCTTGGAGTTTACTTTCCTCATGTACCAAAATTTTCAAGTGCAACTATTCTAGAATTGCATCAAATTAAAGGAGAATATTTTATCAAGGTATTTCTATTCACGGTTCTTCTATTACGTAATTTTTAGTGTAATATTTATCGCCTGGATATTTGAGACATATCATTAAATCTATTTCAAAAACAAACATATCTTATTCTCACGTATTCACAAAAATAAAGAACAAACAAAGATTTTTCAAAACAACATTTACATTGAAAATAAAATACAGACACTTTTTTGTATTCGAAAACAAATATTTAAAAAGTATTTTTTACCCCTTAATTAAATGAAAATATTTTTTTGTAGATTGTCTACTATTTAGGTGTACCAGAAGAGACAATGGATTTAACAATTCCCAAATGTAAAACTATGTGTCCTTTAGAAGATTTTATTCGCTTAGTGGAAAACGTTCTACCGAAGGAATTAACTCACTTTTGTTCTCCATTAGAATTGAAAGAAGAAGATATGATTTATAAACCGATACTTTCAAAATTCAAGAAAATGTTTGCATTAACCCTTACATAAGAGACTGCTGCATTCTTATATCTGTAAAATTTCTCAGCAAATACCAAATTGAACAATAAACCAAAATGAATCATAACTCGAATTTGAATTTCACGCCATTTTAACGTAAATTTCCGCCAGATGGCAAATAAACTCTCTCGCAAACGAGAAACTTCTGGATTGAGTATAAATATTACCGACTAGTCGAGAACGAATTAGATTAAATAAATTCGTAAATCAAGTTTAAAAAGAAACTCCGTATCTACCGACAACCAACATTTGTCTACATAAGTTTAATTATATTTTTATTTATTCTATAAAATGATATACTGTAAATATTAATAAATATTTTATTGAATTACTATCTACTTGAACTACTATTATCATGTACAGAATAATTATTTCAATTCAGAATTTATAATAAAGTTTGTATTTTTAAAGTAATTTTTCTTTAAATGTTTAATTGAATTGCATGGAGAAAGTTCAACGCCTGTGGCGCTCGTCACATAAGGATCATTTGGTAGGAGAAACCGACCCGTGTCAATGCTGTGCTTACAAGAATGCAAATCACTTAAAAAAGCGTATCGCGATAGCTGGTCGTATGCATTAATTCTTATGAGCAGTAATTCTAAATTAGCCCTCGTTTTCCAAGAAACACAAAAATAAATGTAAAAATATTTACTGTGATGAGAAGGAGGCAAAATATTACTTTGGCAACTATACGATATAAATTTTAATTCCCATATTCTTGGGCAAAAATGACAAAAAGTTATCAGTTGTCTTTTGTTAATCAAAATTTATTCTTCAGTGCAAATTTCAGTGATTTCTATGCTTTGGTATACAACATTGGAAACTGAAAAATACCTTAATCTAACGTTACCATCATGGACAAGAATTAATACAAGATAGTTGTCAGACGTCTTTTTTTTATAACAAAGATATCACTTTTCGTTTCACAGAAAAAAGTTAATTAAAAAAAATTATACAAGAAAGTTATCACTTGTCCAATAATTTATTTTCGAATTGTTTAAATAAGGGCCAAGCTGTTACGTGTGTTTATCTTTAGTTTATTAACGAACTGAATTTGCGTCATTGCTTAAACATCATTAAATTTCAAACTTATTAGTACAGTTGGTTACTATGTGAATTAATTTTATAACCATATTAGATTTTTACATAATAAATTTTTTTTCTATGAATTCCAATTTTCTAAATCCTAATTTTATTATCTTTTATTATAATTTAAATTATAATTTTAAAACTACTAATGCAATAACAGTTTTTTACATTAATTCCTACAGGTGTTTCGTCATGGCGATCGTACACCAATTTTGCCACTTGAGACCTATCCAAATGATCCTTATATAAATCATACTTTTAGTGATGTACCCTTTTCTGTATTAACTGAGGTGAGAAAACGATAAATAAAATAACATAATTTAGCAACAGCAACAAATAATATAATATTTTCTAAACCTTCCAGAGTGGAAAACAAAGAGCTTACAGACTAGGAAAATATCTCAAAACGACCTACAGTAAATTTTTAAACAATAGATTTACACCATACACAATTGTAAGTCGAAGTACAAATGCTAATCGAACAAAAGAAACTCTTAATTTTGTATTAAAGGCTTTAAATTCCAATGCTACGTTTCCAGATATAATTGTTAAGCCTATATTCAACGATCCTCTCCTATTACCTTGTGATGAGTAAATATAATACTTTTTTGCTTCAACTTAAACGTTCAATTCAATTTTTGTAAAATTCAATCTTCAAATTTAATATTTGAATTTTTAAAATTGAATTTTTTCGGACATAAAAAAGTCAGACTTCGTACTCGATAATTATTTGTAAAAAGTAGCAGAAAGTATAGCTTTAAGACTAAAAATTCTTACAAATAAAACTTTATGAAAAATTTTACAAAATAATTAAATCGTGTGGAAGAGTTTTATTGCAATTTTTTAATTGGTTTTAAGAATTTATTTAAAATGTTTGAGAGCAATTTTGTAATTAGCAAATTAGAAGTAGTAAAAATTCTTAAAAATAGAAAAAACTGACTTTTAGTGTCAGAAATCTAAAGAAAAGTATCCAAATAGTATCAAATTGTAAAACAAGTATTAAATAGTCTATAATTATAGTTTTTAGTAGTTGAGTACGAAGCCTGAAAATATTATAGCATATTATTTATATGACAGTATTTACAGATTTATTTTAGATTACTTGATGCTGCAGGATACAATTAGTGTTCCCGATTTGGTTTCAACAAAACTTTTGAAAGATTTAACAAAACATACTGGCAAAAAAATTACAAGTTTCAGTGATTTCTATGCTTTGTATACAACATTGGAAACTGAAAAATACCTTAATCTAACATTACCATCATGGACAAGAAACTTATATCCCGATGGTGATTTGGGAAAGGGCGCTGCATTGGCATATGAATTCCTTATCTACGAGAAAAACGGAGGTAAAATAACCTAAAAAATCCAATTTCACTTAAAAATTTTAAATAGAATTTGTACACGGATTCTGGTATAATTATAATTAATATCAACAAGAAACAAAATAGTATAAATTCCAACCTAATATTTACTTGAATTAATGTATAGAAATTCTACAGAAATTTCATTTTCTTCTAATTTTAAAAATTTCTTTTCAATTTTTTTTAGGAATGCTGATTAGAAAATTTGTAAATGACATACTAGCTGTAAAAAGTGGAGAGTTGGAAAAAAAATTATTCCTCTACAGCGGACACGATATTACTGTTGTGGCCGTTTTAAAAACTCTTGGAGTTTACTTTACTCATGTACCAAAATTTACAAGTGCAGTTATTCTAGAATTGCATCAAATAAAAGGAGATTATTTTATCAAGGTATTCAAGGATTTCCTATTACATGTATAATTTTGCGTGTAATATTTATCGCCTTGATATTCAAGACATTAAATGTGTTTCAAAAACAAACATATCCTATTATCACATATTCTCAAAAATGAAAAACAGAAAAAGATTGTTCAAAACAACATTTACGTTCAAAATAAAATTGAAACACTTTTTTTGTATTCGAAAATTTGAAACAAATATTTAAAAAGTATTTTTTTCCATAACTAAATGAAAATATTATTTTTTGCAGCTTGTCTACTATTTAGGTGTACCAGAAAAGACAATGGATTTAACAATTCCAAATTGTAAAACTATGTGTCCTTTAGAAGATTTCATTCGTTTAGTGGAAAGCGTTCTACCTAAAGAATTGGCCTACTCTTGTTCTCCATTAGAATTGAAAGGAAAAAATACGATTTATAAAGAGAAACTTTCGAAATTCAAGCAATTATTTGCATTATCGCTTACATAAGAGACTTCTGAATTTTTATATCTGTAAAATTTCTCAGAAAATACCAAATTCAACAGAGAACCAAAAAGAATCATAATTCGAATTTGAATTTTGCGCCATTTCACTGTAAATTTCCACCAGATGGCAAATAAATTCTCTCTATAATATAATAGACGGATATAAATTTAATTCACGGAAAGTCTAGAAAAGAAATTAACTTACAAGACAAGTGATAACTTTTCTTTACAAAAATAAGTTTATTTTTAATTTAATTTTAGTTTTCACTTCTACTTTTAATTAGTTTTTAGTTCTACTTTTAGTTAATGTTTTTTTCAATTTATTATAGTTTTTCTAATTTTTTTACGTTTTTATTTTTAATTTTTATTTTTGATTTTTCATCTTTTTTCAGTTTATGCTCCACCTTGCTTTCGTTTAAGAAAAAAAATCTCCATTTTTTTTGTTTTCCTATTTATTTTTTCAAAAAGTATAAATATTTACAAAAACAACCCTATATTTTCCCTCCTAAATACACAATAGACAGTATACAAAACAAACTTTGGGAAAAGACTGCAGGAAACACTTCTCCCTCATACTGGACCAAACAGCATTCCACACCCAATACAAAGGACCCCTAGCCTCTGAGTTTTCCCCTCAAAAAGAACCAAAAAGTGCAGACTAATGTCAACTGTCAAACGTGCAGCACACACTTTTTTCTCCACTCTAAAATATTAAGTATATTACAACAATTCGTCATTTTATCATAAAATCACTATTTTTCTTAAACCACTATAATTTTATCAAAACTCTTCTTATTTAATTTATCACCAAATATTTTCAAAAATTATTTTTTTTGTACGAATTGCAATTTTTACACAATTTTCAACACTTATTTGTTATTTCCTTTTTCAGCGAATAAATTTAAAATTACGCCTCAATTTATATCGTTTTTTGCATCTTTCAGTTGCAGAAAATTTATCACTTTTCTTTTATTCTCTCGTGTTTAATTTTGATGTAAATATAATCCCAGAGTACTCTAATGTATTTGTCAAAGTATAATAGTTATCAGTTGTCCACGGTCATGAGATGAAGACGGTTGTCTTTCGCAGCACTATAGAAATGTCAATCAATTTTAATCTTTAAATCAACACCATTATCGTGAGTGTAACAATATAATAATTTTCTTCTGGATAGAATACAATTATTTCAAATTTAAAAAAAAATTGTTTAACTCAGTCTGAAGGTTAAGAACGTTTTTTTAAAAAAGTGTTCTAAAAAAAGTTTCTGTAAAGATTCTTCAACAAATCCAAAAAATGTTCTGTCAAAGTTTCTTAAAAACGAGTTTTTTAGACAAAGTTTTCGAAAAAAAAATTTTCAAACAAAATAATTATTTATTTTTAAATTATTTAAATAAGGGCCAAGGCCCTTTTTTTACTTATTTTAACTTTATTGAGGAAATGAATTTCTTAAACATACTTAATTTATTGGTACAGTTGGTAATTATATGAATTAATTTTATAATCATATTTGATTCTTAGGTAAGAAATATAGTTTGTTTATTACTTCTAATATTCTAAAATATGATATCGTCATTTTTTTCATTTTATTTGAAAATTTACATCATTCATATTAGATTAACATATGTAATCAACTTTTATTTGATATGCTAAAGAAGTCATAGATACTTTAATTATAACGCATGCGCAAAATATCTATTTCCTTGCTATATTTATGACTTTACTATTTCCTCTTTCATCAAGTTTCAACTTATCAACTATTGCACATTTGATTTTATTTGGAAATATTTTATTGAAAATTAATCTTTAATTAACAGGTAATAATAATTATTGTTAAAAATAATTAATAAAAATTTCTAAGCAATTTTTTATTTTAAAAGACTCCAAATTCCATTTATTTTACTATTAACTTTTTTATTATTAATATTAATTATCAAATAATTATTGCAATTGATTTTCAATTTCAGAAGATAAAAACAATCGAATAATAATGTATCGTTTGGTAAGCACTTTTTATATGGTAGGAAGTTTATTAGTACAATCACCTCTTGACACCGAAGATACTCTAAAACATGTCAGTGTGGTAAGTGTTTTTCAAAAATTTATCCCAATTTAATTTATTTATTTAGTTTACTTAATTTTATTTATTTATTTATACTATATGTCAAATTTTGTTCTTATTTAAATTAAAAATTTGTAACGCTCTTCAAAGAAAGGTACCTAAGAAGCAAATCACTTTGAGGTTATGTTTACGTTACATTTATACCTTAATTTAAATGCATCTTTGCTTAATTTAAAACTAAAATCAGTTTTTACTACTTAATTTATTAATTTTTTATTACTTATTGATTAATGAAAGCTTAAAAAATTACTTATTTATATTAAGAGTTAATTAACTTTATATTTTCGCTCCAAAAATTATAAACATAACCCGAAATTTTTTTCCTCTCTGGTACCTTTCTTTAGAGCCTCTCAAATTTGTGTCACTACATGAAAAATTTGTTAAATGCCCTTAAATGAAAAATTAATTTTCTACTATTTAATGAAACCGTTTAATAATTTAAAACCTACGAATGCGATAACAGTTTTTTTTCAAATTAATCCTTACAGGTGTTTCGTCATGGCGATCGTACTCCAATTTTGCCACTTGAGACCTATCCAAATGATCCTTATAAAAATCATACATTCAGTGATGTACCCTTTTCTATATTAACTGAGGTGAGAAAACGATAAATAAAATAACATAATTTACCAACAACAACAAAATTACTTTACTTTAAAAATAAATTTTTAAATCCATCAACAGAATTAAAAAGAAATAATTGTTTCTAAACCTTCCAGAGTGGAAAACAAAGAGCTTACAAATTGGGAGAATATCTCAAAACCACCTACAGTAAATTTTTGAAGAATAAATTTACACCATACACAATTGAAAGTCGGAGTACAAATGTTAATCGAACAAAAGAAACTCTTAATTTTGTACTAAAGGCTTTAAATTCTGATATTACGTTTCCAAATATAATTGCTAAGCCTGCAGACAACGATTCTCTTCTAATACCTTGTGAACAGTACGTATCATTTTTTTTCAATTGCATTTTACTAAGAATTGATTTGAAATTGTATTAAAACTAATTGAAATTAAATTACTTAAATAATTGAATTCCTGTAAAAATTTATAGCATATTATTTATATGACAATATTTGCAGATATCTTGTAGATTACTTGAAAGTGGTGAGTAGTTATAATGTGAAGTCCGATTTGCAATTACAAAGACTTATGACTGTTTTAACAAAATTCACTGGCAAAAATATTACTAAAATCAGTGATTTACATGCTTTATATACAACATTCGAAACTGAAAAATACCTTAATCTCACATTACCATCATGGACTGAGACCTTATATCCCGAAGGTCCTTTCGTAAAGAACGTAGCAAGGGCATATCACTTGTTTAACTACAATGACAATATGAAGAAACAAAACGGAGGTAAGAAAATCAAATCTTACTCAAAATAAAAAATTCTATTCAATTTCATTAAACATTTCAATGGAATTTCTACACGAATTCTGATTAAAATAAAATAGCATTCTACACAATTCGTTTTTATAGAAATTAAATAATTATACATATATTTTTAATATATTTCTAATCAGTCTTGTTTTCAATTTTCCAGGAATGCTGATTAAAAAATTTATAAATGACATATTAGCTGTAAAAAATGGAGAAATGGGAAATAAATTATTCCTCTACAGCGCACACGATATTACTGTTGCTGCCGTTTTAAAAGCTCTTGGAGTTTACTTTCCTCATGTACCAAAATATTCAAGTGCAACTATTCTAGAATTGCATCAAATTAAAGAAGATTATTTTATAAAGGTATTTCTATTAAGTAATCTTGTGTGTAATATTTATCGCCTTGATATTCGAGACATTGAATCTGTTTCAAAAACAAACATATCCTATTCTCACGTATTCACAAAAATAAAGAACAAACAAAGATTTTTCAAAACAACATTTACGTTCAAAATAAAATTGAAACACTTTTTTTGTATTCGAAAATTTGAAACAAATATTTAAAAAGTATTTTTTACCCCTTAATTAAATGAAAATATTTTTTTGTAGATTGTCTACTATTTAGGTGTACCAGAAGAGACAATGGATTTAACAATTCCAAACTGTAAAACTATGTGTCCTTTAGAAGATTTCATTCGTTTAGTAAAAAACATTCTACCTACAGAATTAACTCACTTTTGTTCTCCGTTAGAATTGAAAAAAGAAGATATGATTTATAAACCGATACTTTTGAAATTCAAGCAATTGTTTGCATTAACGCTTACATAAGAGACTGCTGCATTCTTATATCTGTAAAATTTCTCAGCAAATACTAAATTGAACAAAGAACCAAAAAGAATCATAACTCGAATTTGAATTTCGCGCAATTTTAACGTAACTTTCCACCAGATGTCAAGTAAACTCTCTCGCAAGCGATAAACGTCTGGATTGAGTATAAATATTACCGACTAGTCGAGAATGAGTTCAATTTCCGTTCTTTTTTTCATTCGCTAACAATTTTTGTAATTTACAACTCTACTTGACAAGAAAACTAAATCGAAATTCAGTGTTTAAATAAGCACAAAGAAAATCCGTATCTTTATCTCAGATTCATGTACATACGTTTTATTATATCATTATTTATTTTATAAAATGATATGCTGTAAATATTAATAAATATTTTGTAAAGTAAGTCATGTACAGAATTATCTAAATTAAAAATAATAAATTAATAATTTATAATCAAATTTGTATTTTTTTAAATACGAGGGAAAATTTCCCGTTCAAGAACCGAAAATGAAAATTATATAATTAATAATTTTCGTTTCGTTTCCTTTGTGCAGGAGAAAAATAATGTCACTTTGTAAAATAAAATCGGACGGGACATAATTAAAAAAAGAAAACTTGTAATTAGTTATACAATTTTGTATATTTGCTCTTAAAAACTGAATCTTTTTTTTAATAATAGAATTTTCAAAATCAATCAGTCTGGGTAATTTTTTTTCTTTTAATGTTTAATCACTTGCATATAGAAAGTTCAATGTCTGTGGTTCGAGACATTGACCAGTGACAATGCTGTGCTTACAAGGATGCAAATCACTTAAAAAATCTTATCGCGATTGTCAGTTAAAAATATGATTTTTAACTGATTCAAATTAAGAGAGCACATTGGCTTTTCATCTACAAGTTGCAGAAAATTTATCACTTTTCCTTTATTATTTCATGCTTAATTTTCATGTAAATATAATCCTAGAGTACTCAATGTATTTGTCAAAGTATAAAAGTTATCAGTTGTCCACGGTCATGAGATGAAGACAGTTGTCTTTCGCATCACTATAGAAATGGCTATCAATTTTAATCTTTAAATCAACACCATTATCGTGAGTCTGACAACATAATAATTTGCTTCTGTATATGATAGAATTATTTCGAATTTAAAAAAAGTTTTCTTGACAAAAAGTTTTCATACAATTTTTTTTTTAACCTCTAGACTGCCGAAAGGTTACTGAAGTGACTCTAAATATTTCAATGTGTTTTTCCATGTAAGTTTTGATAGAAATATATAAAATTGTTTGGTATTTTTACTATTAATTTTAATCGCATTTTGCCGGCAGTCTAAAGGTTAAGAACGTTTTTTTAAAAGTTTGTGTAATAGTTTCTCAAAAACAAGTTTCTTAGAAAAATTTGTCGAAGAAACACTTTTTTAAATAAAATAATTTATTTCCAAATTGTTTAAATAAGGGCCAAGGCTTTCGCGTCTATCTATATTTAATTTAACTGAGAAAATGAATTTGCGTCATTGCTTAAACATCATTAACATTCAAATGTTTTTGTACAGTTGGTAAATATATGAATTAATTTTATAATCATATTAGATTCTGACATCGTCATTTTTTTCATTTTATTTGAAAATTTACATAATTCATATTAGACTAACATATTAAATCAACACTTTTTTATTTGATATATAAAGAAGTCATAGATACTTAAATTATAACGCATGCGCAAAATATCTATTTCCTTGCTATATTTATGAGTTTACTATTTCCTCTTTCATCAAGTCTCAACTTATCAACAATTACACATTTAAATTGGTTTCGAAATAGTTTATTCAAAATTAATCACTTAATTAACAGGTAATAATTAATAAGTAATTAATAGAAATAAATTTTAAAAATAATTAACGCAAATAATTCATAAAAATAATTAATAAAAAATAATTAATTAAAAAAAATTAAAAGAATGATTTAAAAAATCAAATTTAATTAAGATTGTTATATAAATAATTTTCAAATCGTAATATTAGCTAATCATTGATATTAATTGTGTATTAAATAATTATAAATTAATGATATTATTTGATTACTTTCGAAAATTGATTACTAATTTTTATTTTTTTAAATAGAAAATTATGTTCCATAAAAAATTATTGGCACTTAATTATAAATTATTTGTTAATTATAATTTATGTAGATACTATTTATTTTTAGTATTCATTTATTTTTATTTAAATTTATATAATATCTTTATGATAAATTTATATTTATTTATATCAAATTCCCTTTATTTTACTTTCAACTTTTTTAATATTAATAATAATTATCGAATAATTATTGCAATTGGTTTTCAATTTCAGGTGATAGAAACAATCGCATAGCAATAATGTATCGTCTGGTTAGCACTTTTTATATGATGGGGAGTTTATTAGTACAGTCACCTCTTGAGACCGAAGATCAAGATAGTCTAAAACAAGTCAGTGTGGTAAGTGTTGTTCAAAATTTATCTCAATTTTAATTTATTTATATAATTTACTTAATTTTATTTACTTATACTATATTTTTTAAATTAATTCCTACAGGTGTTTCGTCATGGCGATCGTACACCAATTTTGCCACTTGAAACCTATCCAAATGATCCTTATATAAATCATACATTCAGTGATGTACCCTTTGCAATATTAACTGAGGTGAGTAAACGATAAATAAAACAACATAATTTACCAACAACAACAAAATTACTTTACTTTAAAAATAAATTTTTAAATCCATCAACAGAATTAAAAAGAAATCATTTTTTCTAAACCTTCCAGAGTGGAAAACAAAGAGCTTACAGATTGGGAGAATATCTCAAAACCACGTACAGTAAATTTTTAAACAATAAATTTACGCCATACACAGTTGAAACTCGAAGTACAAATGCTAATCGAACAAAAGAAACTCTTAATTTTGTGCTAAAGGCTTTAAATTCTAATATTAAGTTTCCAAATATAATTGCTAAGCCTGTATCAAATGATTCTCTTCTAATAACGTGTGATGAGTAAGTATTACTTTTTTTCAATTTAAACATTTAATTCAATTTTTGTAAAATTCACTTTTCAATATTTAATTTTAAAATTTTTTTACGATGCCTGAAAAGTTTGTAACACATTATTTACATGTCAATATTGCAGATATCTTTTAGAATTTTTGAAAGTGCAGAATAAAATGAATGGGAAGTACGGTTTGAATTTTCAAAGACTTATGAATAGTTTAACAGATTATACTGGCAAAAATATTACTAGAGCCCTTGATTTACATGCTTTATATACAACATTCGAAACTGAAAAATACCATAATCTTACATTACCATCATGGACGAAGGTCTTATATCCCGATGGTCTCTTGGTAAAGGGATGCGCATTGTCGTATAAATTATTGAATTACGATGACAATATGAAGAAACTTAACGGAGGTAAAATAACTTTAAAAAAATTATATCTCTCTCAAAAAAGTCTATTTAATTTCACTACAAAAATTCAATAAAATTTCTACCTAATATTTAACTCGAATTCATGTAGAAATTCTACAAGAGGTTCATTTTCTTTTCATTTTAAAAATTCCTTTTTCTAATTTGGCATTGTTTTCAATTTTCCAGGAATGCTGATTAGAAAATTTATAAATGACATGTTAGCTGTAAAAAATGGAGAAATAGGAAAAAAATTATTTCTCTACAGCGCACACGATATTACTGTTGTGGCCGTTCTACAAGCTCTTGGAGTTTACTTTTCTCATGTACCAAAATTTACAAGTGCAACTATTCTAGAATTGCATCAAATTAAAGGAGATTATTTTATCAAGGTATTTCTATTCACGGATCTTCTATTACGTAATTTTTCGTGTTATATATCGCCTTGATATTTGAGACATTTAATTTGTTTCAAAAACAAACGTATCCTATTCTCACATATTCTCAAAAATAAAAAACAGAAAAAGATTTTTCAAAACAATATTTACATTCAAAATAAAATAGAGACACTTTTTTGTATTCGAAAATTCGATAACAAATAGTTCAAAAGTATTTTTTTATCCATAACTAAACGAAAATATTTTTTGCAGCTTGTCTACTATTTAGGTGTACCAGAAGAGACAATGGATTTAACAATTCCAAATTGTAAAACTATGTGTCCTTTAGAGGATTTCATTCGTTTAGTGGAAAACGTTCTACCGAAAGAATTAACTCACTTTTGTTCTCCATTAGAATTGAAAGAAGAAGATATGATTTATAAACCGACACTTTTGAAATTCAAGAAATTAATGGAATTATCGTTAGCATAAAAGACTGCGGCATTTTTATATCTGTTAAATTTCTCAGCAAATACCAAATTCAACAAAGAACCAAAAAGAGTAATAAATCGAATTTGAATTTCGCGCTATTTTAACATGAATTTCCGCCAGATGGCAAATAAACTCGCTCGCAAGCGAGAAACGTTTGGATTAAGTATAAATATCAGCGAAATAGTAAAAAATAATAATTTTTCTAATTTTCAACTAGAAGCGAATAATAAATCGAAATTCAGATTGTGAATCCGTATCTATCAAACAAAATAAATCGAAATTCAAATTGTAAATCCGTATCTAGCAAACATTTGTCTACATAAATTTAATTTTATTTTTATTTATTTTATAAAATTATATACGATAAATATTAATATTAATAAATATTTTATAATGTAAGTTTTACTACTCCATAATGTACAGAACAATTATTTAAATTAAAAATAAGAATAAATTAAGAATTTATAATAAAATTTGTATTCTTTAAATATCACATTACACTCCCTGCAAAAAATTTATTTGTAGTTAAAAAACTAATTCTCAAAAAGAACAAAAAAAATTAAAAATAATAAAAGTACCTACAAAAAATAACGCGCAGGAAAAATTACAAAAATTAAGAATAATAAAAATACAAAAAATATTTTGTAGTTTAAATTAATTTGGAGGAAAAATTACAAAAAATAATAATATTACAAAAAATATTTGCAGTTAAAAAAAGAATTCTCAAAATGAAATGAAAAATAATAAAAATACAAAAAATATTTGCAATTAAAAATAATTCGCAAAAAAAGAAAAAAAGAAAAATATACATTTAAAATTAATTCGCAAAAAAGCTAAAAAATAAAAATCTATACTTGAACAGAAGAAAATAGAGAATATTTTCTTCTCAAAGATGAGAATAAAGTACGCTATTCGAAATGAAAGGGAGATACCCTAAGAACTGAGCCAAATTTCATCTCAGGTATAATCGAAAGAAAAAAAAAAGAAGAGTAGGGGGAATGTATCAAAAGAAGAATCTAATACGATACAAAAGGATGCAATGACGATTGGATTCCTGACCTATCGCAGCACATTAATCGATGTCGATGACAAAGGATATTTCTTCACAGGGGGAAGAAAAAAAGATATTCCTGCAGCAACGAGAGAAATTCTTGATTTAAAAACCATTCAGTTTAAAATCTTTCACCATGCAACTTGTAACTTACTATTTAAAAGCTCTTTGAATTTAAATGTCTTTGTCGAGACAATTTTTAATCTATTTATTTTCCGACAGTTGAAAATTAAACAAAGTGAGTGAAAAAGTGAAAAGTGTCACATTCAGAAAAAAAATTTATCTCAATTTTTATTAGTTCACATAAAACGTTTTTCTAAACAAATTAGAATTTTCAAATTATTTCTTTAATACTGCTTCTTTAAAACTAGTTTTTTAAATAAGCCTTTTTAAATTAGTTTTTAAAAATTTTTCTAAACTTATTTCTTTCGATTTTGTTTTTAAAAATTAATTCTTTAAAACCAATTATTCAAAACTATTTTTTTAATTGAATATTTGTTTAATTGTTTGAAAATTATTTTTGTTTGCCAGCTTTTCTCTCAAATTCCCAAAGATAATTAATTATTAATGATTAAAATTATTTACTCGATTATGGAATTTATTAAAAAGAATCGCATCTGTACAAATAATTAAATATTGTACATTCCTCAAAAATTATTTGTTAAAAAAACTGTTTGTTTTATTATTATTATTTTACTGAAATCTTTCTGTATAAATAAAAATTCTAAAATTTCAACTAAGCATCATTTAAAAAACCACTAAATTCTCGTTATTTTTTTTTTGTTTTTTATTCCCAAAAATACTCTGTAAATAGAATTTAAGATTTTATCTTATTTACAGGAAACATTTACTCATTTTCACCAGTAACATCAGTGAATAGAATTGCCGCATTGTTCATTTATTTTTACAGTGAGAGCAAAATAACAAAAAACAAAAAAAAATGCCTTCTAATTTGACGCTGTGCTTTCTATTCATCAGTATTGTGTCCAGTTGTTTTGTTGCATCTGAATCAACACTTCAATTCATTAATGTGGTATAAAAAAAGAATTATTTTAATTAATAAAATTTTTTAAAGCTAAAAATTGTAAATGTATTATTTAATTATTAAATTTACATGAAGAATAAATTTTTTCAAGTAACAAGTTTATTTCCTTTGTTATTATTTTTATTATTATTATGATTATTATTGTTGTTACTATTGTAATTATTATCATTTGTTATTATTATTATTATTATTATTATTATTATTATTATTATTATTATTATTATTATTATTATTATTTCCTTTGTTATTATTTTTATTATTATTGTTGTTACTATTGTAATTATTATCAAATTTTCAATTTAATATTTATTTATTAATTTGCATTATTTATTTTAGTTCTTAACAATTTATTAATTATATTTACAAATTTACTTCTTTCATGAAAATATCAGGTTTTTCGTCACGCTGATAGAACACCGATTCCTCCGTATGAAATGTATCCTAATGATCCCTACAAAAATTTGACCACCGACCCTTCCGAGTACGGACAATTGACAAAGGTAAGTTTTTAAATATTTCTAACTATTCATATTCAGGGAAAAATTAAAATTTTAATTGTCAATTTAAAATTATTATTTAGAGTATTTATAATTAACCCTATAGGCAGTACAACTGTAAGGAAAAATCTTAAATACGTCATTTTTTGCAAATTTTGTATTTTCTGTTTTTCTAACTTTTTGACCAAATTTTTCCTCCCATGGAAAAACAAAAAACGCCATCTTCTTCTTTATGAAAAAACGAATAAAATGACATATAATAAAGTTATTTTGCATTAAATTTGAACATTCTAGCAACAAATCAATTTCGGGGTTCTTTAGAACCCCAGTTGTATTTTTACTTATAAACCAGCTGTGTTATACTATCCAGGATTAACAATATAAAAATTGTTTGTAAATTTTATTTTTTCTTTGTTAGAAAAAAGAAACCTAACATTTTTATAAAAAAATTTTATAACAAAATTTTATAACAAATTTTTATAACAAAACATTTGTATAAATATTTTCAGAGTGGTGAAATAAGAGCTTTTAGACTAGGTGGAATTTTGTGCGATAAATATTGTGAATTTTTAGGCACCAATTATCAATCAGGTACGATTGAAGCTCGCAGTACTGATTTTAATCGAACAAAAGAATCATTAAATTTACTTCTAAAAGCTCTATATCCAGGAAATATTATTGAAACAACTTATCAACCACTGGAAAACGATACATTACTCTTTCCCCTATTCTGCAAACTGTAAGTGATTCCTTTCTTATAACCCTCTTTTCTAAAAATTTCTAAAAAATTTCCAAAATTGTATTTCCCTAAAAAATTAATTTCCGTAAAATAATTTAATTTTCTCCACGACAGATTCACTGACAAGTATTCCCAAGTGCAAAATATGACAGAAGTCAAGACAAAAGCGTCAGAATTCGATGAATTTGAAAAACAACTTTCAATATTCACGGGAAAGGAAATAAAATCATTACATGATGTTGCCCTCATTTGGGTAACATTGGAAACGGAAAACTTTATGGGTCTTCAATTACCCGAGTGGACGAGAAATATTTATCCAAATGGTGATATATTAGATGCTGTCATTGAATTTTATAAAATTATGAACTACAACGCAAAACTCAGAAGACTTAATGGAGGTATGAAAAACAAAAAAGTTTTATTAACCCTAGGAACCGTTTAACACCCTTGGAAAGGGAGGTGGAAATTTTTAAAAAGCATATATTCTTAGAGGTTTCTAGGGTCGTTGATTACAAATCTAAAGTCAGATTTTCAAAATTTAAAATGGGGGACAAACTTTAAAAATTCGTAAAATTTAACAATTGTTCATAATTTTTTTTAAAAAGCAAATTTTAGATATTTTCTTGTCTACGTATTTTGAAAGCTTCGCGTTTCTGAAGATTCCTCCAAATTTGAATGAAAAATATTAATTTTGTTTAAAGATATTAAGCTTTTTGTAAGTGGGACATATGTGTCCCAGTTGGGTTAAATTAATAAAAATAAGTGTCAATTTATACAAATACTAATATTTTTAAACACGATTGTATTTTTTAACACATGTCTGAATTCTAGGTATGCTTGTTCGAAAATTCATAGAAGATATTGAAACCGTAGTAAATGGTACAAATAAACATCGAAAATTAATGCTATACAGTGCACATGACATTACGATTGCCGGTGTTTTAAGTGCCTTAAACGTTTTCTATCCACATGCACCCCAATTTTCATCAGCTGTCATTGTCGAACTTCATCTTATAAATAAAATTTACTACATAAAGGTAAAATTTTACCCCTACTCTCTAAATTTAAATTAATTAAAATTACCAACTTTTCCGATAAAAACGCAATGTTTTTTCTCAATTTTCAGATTTTATACTACTTGGGCCAACCAGAAACAATCAGAGTATTACGAATTCCAAAATGCGGTGAACTGTGTCCATTAAATCGATTTAAAAATTTAGTTAAAAAAAATATACCAAATGACTTTGAAACGAAATGTGGAAGAATTTAAAACTGATTTCGAAATAAATTTAATTTAATACATATTTGCTGTCGTTTTAATTACTATTATAATCTTACCACTAAAATTAACATCAACTTTTAAATTTAAGTTATTAATTTTTCAAATCGATTAAATTTAAAAATATAAAAAGAAGGTAAAAAAATAAATAATATTTAATAAAAAGTAAAATAAAAAATGTAAAACAAAATCGATTGAAATACGTACTCGTGACTACACCCTAAATTCTACATAAGTCTATTTTTTGTAAATTCCTATTATTTTGTAAATAGGGGAAATTATTTTTTTGTACCTATTTCACTCCCAATTTAATAATTTTAAATAATAACGTTCGTTAAATTGGTGATGGGATTCATACATTTTTCGATTGTGTAAATTACAAATTCTTTTTTTAATCGAAGTTGAACGTGGTCTCAACCTGCGTACAAAAATTACATGTTCAAGAAATAAGTCATAAATTTTAGTAAAAACAAGTCTAAATTTCCTGAAACTCTTCCCTTAGTTCGAACCCTTTTGTTTCAAAAATAAAAAAAGTGGTAAAACATTATAATAATTTAAAAAATTAAAATAATAATACGGTGGTGTAAATTTAAGACGCAACAATAATTTCAAGGACATAAAAATAATTTTGTTTGTTCATGTTAAAATAATCTTCGCAAACTTAAATTTTTTATAATTCCAATAAAAGTAACTATTTGCAAGTGAAAATTTATTTTTATAAATTTAATACTGACAATATGTATATTGAAATAAACAACTGTGTAAATACTTATATAACGAAATATGCAAAAGAAATAATAATAAAATTATACAATTTTATTATTATTTCTTATAAGCTGTATTTATATAAGTAAGAAAAATTTGTTTTTTGTATTATAAAAAAAGTCATTCTAATTTCTTTCAAAATAGGTAAGTGAATATACAATAAAATTATCTGCAATAATAACACAACTTGATGTATTCTTTTTTGTTAAAAATAGTTTTAATTCTTGCTATTTTAATTTTATATGAATTTTACATTTTTGATTTCAATTTAATTTTTAAATTATTTTAGAAAAATTGTATTTCCATTGGAAGATTCAAATTAATATAAATACTAAACTTTTATTTACACCGAAAGAAAAATTTTTTTAAATTATACATTTATTTTTACAGTGAAAAAAAAACAAAATGCTGTTTAAATTGACTCTTGGTTTTCTAATCATCTCCATACTAAATTATTTAACACCCACCGATTCAACTCTACAGTTCCTTAATGTGGTAAATAAAAATATTTATACTTTTATTTTATAAACTTTACGCTTTAATTATTTTTTATTTATTTTATTTTGTCAACTAATAGAAGAATTATCACAAATTTGAATTATTAATTAATTATCTTTATACTTATTAAACTTTCCATTTAAATTCATAAAAATTTCAATCTAAAAATTAATTTCAAGGTAATTTTAAAAATTAAACACCCTTTTAATTTCCTATAAACTTTAGGTTTTTCGTCACGGTGATAGAACGCCAATTCCTCAATATGAAATGTATCCGAATGACCCCAATAAAAACGGAACATACGATCCTCCCGGTTACGGTCTATTGACAAAAGTAAGTTTCCAATTATTAATTTTTTCTACTTTTAAAAAGTTTTGAAAAAGTAAACCATCTATCATAGTTAAAAAAAAACAAATCATTAATTTAATGATATTCTTTAAAGAGTGGTGAAATGAGGGCTTATAAATTAGGACAAATTCTGCGCGAAAGGTACAGTGAATTTTTAGATACCGTCTATGTACCAGGTTCAATTCAAGCGCAAAGTACAGATTTTAATCGTACAAAAGAATCATTAAATTTTCTATTAAACGCTTTATATCCAAACACTGTTATCGAATCAACCTATCGGCCATTGCTCAACGACACGTTACTGTATCCAACACTATGCAAATTGTAAGCAAACATTTTTTTCTCTACCAAATTAAAAAAAAGGAAATGTTTTTAAATTAAACTTAATAGTTAAAAAATTTTCCCAAAATGATTTTCAGATTTGCTGAGAAATACTATGAAGTATTAAACACGACAGAAGTTAAGAGATACATTGCAAAATTTGATGAATTTAGAAAACAACTTTCCGAAATGACGGGAAAGGAAATTAAATCATTACTAGATGTGGCGCTAATTTCGGGTACTCTAGACATTGAGAGACATATGAATTTAGAATTACCCGAATGGACAAGGAATTTTTATCCAAATGGTGAAATGCTCAATGCAGTAATTGCCTATTACAAAATTATGAGTTACAATGTGGATCTTAAAAGGCTTAACGGAGGTATATATATTTTACCCACAAAGATTCAAAATTAAACCAGAAACTAAAAGAATAAAATCTGTTTTTTAGGTATGCTTGTCAGAAAATTTATAGAAGACATGGATGCTGTAAGAAATGGTACAATGGCCAAAAATCGTAAACTAATGCTTTACAGTACACATGATCTTGCCGTCGCTGCTGTTTTAAATTCCCTGAATGTTTATCATCTACATGCACCTGAATTTTCATCAGCTGTATTTGTGGAATTACATCTAATTAATGAAACCTATTATGTAAAGGTGAGACTATTTCCAACTATTTGCAATTTCTCCACCATATTGGATCCACCATTTTCAATTTTTAAAATCTGACATTTAATTCATAATTCATCCCTTTTTCTACTTTTTTAGATCCTGTATTATTTAGGCGTAACCGAGAAACTAATAGAACTACAAATTCCAAATTGCCCTCAACTATGTCCATTGAACGAATTTAAAAATCTAACAAAAGACGTTATACCATCTGATTTTGAATGGAATTGCGGAAATATTTAAAACTTCAACAAAATTTTTCCCATGGAAAATTGTTTTTTTAGTATATAAATGTTTGTAACGCTTTAACTAAAATTCTATTTGACGAAACATTCTTCTCTATTTGCTACAATTTGAAAAATCTGTTACACATTGTTTTTTTTGTACAAACAAACAAAAATATGGTTTTTAAGCTCTTTAACATTGTCATCTCTTTCATTTTGTTCATGAATAGTGTACTGAAATGGGTGCTTTTATACAATTTTATACCAGGCTTTCCATCTATCGTTAGAGTTGCACTCAACGAACAGCGTTATCTCTGGATTTGTCGCTGTTGTCAAACACAAATCCAAACACCTTCATGTCGATCACAAACTAATGGATCATAAAAAAGGCTTTTTAATTTTTAAACTAACTTTTTTTTAATTATTTATACTTTTAATCAATTTTTTTTTAATTTATAAAATAATAGAATTTTAAAAAATTGAAATAAAAGATTTTATATTTATATCAACGGTTGTATTTTTATATTCTAATCCTAGTCTTCTTTTCTTTCTTTTTTTTTAAATATGGAAATGCTGACCCCTCGTAGAAAGATCAGTACGACTCCTTGTTAATTTGAGCTCGAGAGATGAAGGGTGTGATTCAATGAGAAAGGGCCAGGAAAGCATGACTCTTGTGAAAACAATGCTTTTGGCGATGAATCAATAGCACAAAGCCTTTCACACCAACTCTCCATGTACACGTTTTAATTAGTAATCCCAACTATATTTTCTCGAGATAAGATCGACGCACTTCTCTTGACAAGTCTACATCGTTATTTTCCTCTCGAGAATTCTAAATTCAAGAATTTTTTTCGTAGAAAAAAGCAGAATAAGGTTTTTTCTACTAAGATTTATTTCTGAAGAAAAAATAATTCTTTTAAAAATTTTAAATCCAACTTAAAAAAAGGCTTGAGATTATAACCAAAGTTTCTTAAAAGAAGGCGAATTTTATATAATTTTTACTTAAATTTGACAGTTTGAGATTATAACCAAAGTTTCTTAAAAGAAGGCGAATTATTCATGTACCTGATTTTTACTTAAATTTGACAGTTTGAAATTATAACCAAAGTTTCTTAAAAGAAGGCGTAACATTTCACTTCAATTTGACAGTTTGAGATTATGACCAAAGTTTATTAAAAAATGGCGAAGTTTATGTAATTTTTACTTAAATTTGACAGTTTGAGATTATAACCAAAGTTTCTTAAAAGAAGGCAAATTTTATGTACTTTTTCCTTAAATTTGACAGTTTGAAATTATAACCAAAGTTTCTTAAAAGAAGGCGAATTTTAAGTAATTTTTACTTTTTGACAGTTTGAGATTATAACCACAGTTTCTTAAAAGAAAGCGAATTTGATGTATTTTTTCCTCTTTGACAGTTTGAGATTATAACCATAGTTTCTTAAAAGAAGGCGAATTTCTTGTAATTTTTACTAAAATTTGACAGTTTGAGATTATAACCATAGTTTCCAAAAGTCCTTATGCATAATTAAACACTAATAAATTACAAAGTATAAGCAAAATTAACAATTCGTTAATGCACCAAACACTGGATAACCCTTAACTGAAATTTTTCTTTTCAAACTAAAAGTAAAATTTATACCGAACTTGTTATCATAAATTCTCTGGATTTATATGGAGTAATTAAAATTTACAATATTAAATGATCAATTAAATATCCATTACTCGTCTTTTCACGCCTTTTTACTCTTTTCAATGAAAGTAGAACTCTGGCAATGTTAACCATTGTTATTCGTGTCGAGCAATGCCACCGCAATTCACTCGGAGCCATTTATTAGTTCAGAACAAGTGCCGCGTATTGTACAAGGCGACAAAATATACATGGTTTTAATGAATTACAATTTGAATAAGCAACATTAAAACCAAAAAATTATTATTACCGAATATAATAACTTACGAACAGAATAAATTTACAAAATTACATGATATTTTTTTATATTCTTTTCTCTCTCTCTCTCTCTTCTTGTTTACATTCTTTTTATATTCTAAAAAATATTGTCATTTTGTGTGGAAAATTGTGAAATTTAAGAAAAGTCATTTTCGTCGCATTGCACCCAACTCGTCAACATACACAAAAATTCTCTTTTTACACCAAAAGGACGCTTATACAGCAGACGAAAAGCTCCTTGAACTTTTTCGCAAACTGTCTGCGCTCACAGGGGTGAGACGAACATGGAAAATGAAAAAAAAAGAAACTCAATGCTCTGCACGTCGAGCTGGAATAAATTCCAAAAATAGTGTGGGTTTTGAAAAATGACGTCCTAAATGAGGGGTGACATAGGAACCATCCCTTCAGGCATTTTTGCCCACTATGAATGAATTTCTCGTATAACGTCAAATACTTATATGGAATTTTATTTATATAAAGAGGAGAACTCCTTGCCCTATACTCAATTCTGACCTAAATTGGAACGAACTGAAACAGCCATTAATAAAACACAGAACAATGAAATTAAAAAAGATTTTTTCCGAATTCTATTTTTATATTTACGGATTTTTTAATTTGGAACTTTGAGATAGTACAACACTCCTTGTCTTTTGTTTATATATCGTTAATAAGAGACTATTTGGTCCAATTAATATCAAACTTCAATTCATCCAACGTTTAGAAAGCATCACTCCAACGTTAGTTCCACATTATTTGCCCTTCATTCTCAACTGTCAATAAGTTTGAAATTAATTGATATGTATAACATTTGCTACAAGAAAACTTTAGCCACACAATTTAAACTTTCAACTAATTTGACATCTTTGCTTTAATTTGAGGTATCAAGTAATTGGCAACATTTAATTATTATTTAGACGTTCATCATCCATTTCATTGTTTCAAGAAACAAAAACTGCTGTTCTAAAAGTAAACAAATAAAGCTGAACTACTTTACAATTAATTATAACACCATAATCAGAAATCTATCTAAACTGTTACTAATTTTTGTTCTTCAGTTAATTTGATTCGTACATAATGCGATTGTGTCAATTACAAATTTCTTTTTTATCGAAGTTGAACGTGGTCTCAATCTGCGTACAAAAATGTCTTGAGTCAAAAATAACATGTTAAAGAAATCAGTCATGAAAATAACTTTGTAAAAGACTTAGGTCTTAATTCCAATGCTGCATTTTCGTTCAAGGAAAGTACAAACAGTACATCTGAAACTTGAAAGTAAATTTACGTATAAAATCCTTTACTTGATTAAACAATAGAAAGTAGAATGGGTATTTAGTTCAAATTCAGGTGACTGCGATAGAAACTATTCGTGTTCATTTCGGCAGAAGGGAATAATTATTTAGGTCATGAGATGAGCACAATAGTCGACACTATGCGCCTAAGCGTGAAATTCAATTGAATCGGTAAATTCAGAAAAGACATAGTGGTTTGTGATCCACATATTTCTCCCTCTCTCTCTCCCTTTCCATCATATATAATAATCTTTGGTCACGAAACTTAATTAGAACAATTTTCCCCAGCACACATCACAAATAATCTACAAATCCGCTATATTGTTTCTACCGAAAAAAATCATAAAAAGTAATAAATTTTCTAACTTTTTGAGAAAAAAAACCATAATGTATTGTCTTTTTAAGTTTCCTGCTTCTTTAACGAATCTAAAATTAATTACCCGAGTGTTTTCGTTTCAACATCTACTTGTCCTATTTTCGCATTTTCCGCTTCCTTGCCTGCAAGACTGTAATATAAAATAGCCCACATGTTTGCGAACAGCAATTTAATTTTTATGCAAACCGGAAAAATTACCGGAATGTATAAAATGCATTTTACAAAAGTTCTTAATTTTTCGAACTGTATATTATTATGTACAAAATAAACAACAATTCTCTTCCGACATCGGAAACTTTTATCAATAAAAGTCACGTCTGAAAAGGGAAATGAAAGTCAATTAAATGTACTGGAAATAATTCGATAATTTCCAAAAGATATTAAATAATTGTTATGAATGAAGGGAAGGAATCATTGTCCAATCCAAAACCATGATAATAAGAATAAGAATTAAAAATTAAAGTTAACGATCTCTCTGAGTCAAGCTCAATTTATATATAATCAATTTTAGAAATTTTATGTAATTTTTACTTAAATTTGACAATTTGAGATTATAACCAAAGTTTCTTAAAAGAAGGCGAATTAGATGCAATTTTTACTAAATTTGACAGTTTGAGATTATAACCAAAATTTCTTAAAAGAAGGCTAATTTTATGTAATTTTTACTTAAATTTGACAGTTTGAGATTATAACCAAAGTTTCTTAAAAGAAGGCGAATTATTCATGTGCCTGATTTTTACTTAAATTTGACAGTTTGAAATTATAACCAAAGTTTCTTAAAAGAAGGCGTAACATTTCACTTCAATTTTACAGTTTGAGATTATGACCAAAGTTTATTAAAAAATGGCGAAGTTTATGTAATTTTTACTTAAATTTGACAGTTTGAGATTATAACCAAAGTTTCTTAAAAGAAGGCAAATTATTCATGTACTTGATTTTTACTTAAATTTGACAGTTTGAAATTATAACCAAAGTTTCTTAAAAGAAGGCGTAACATTTCACTTCAATTTGACAGTTTGAGATTATGACCAAAGTTTATTGAAAAATGACGAAGTTTATGTAATTTTTACTTAAATTTGACAGTTTGAGATTATAACCAAAGTTTCTTAAAAGAAGGCAAATTGTATGTAATTTTTACATAAATTTTTCTGCAGACAAGAGGACGCTGATACTTTAAACATAAAAAGAATTTGTAATTTACGCAATCGAATTATTTAAAAATTATTGATGACCTAAATAAAAAATTCTACAGACTGTCTACAAACTTTTCGCGGACTCCTGTCTCTCTATAAAGTCCAAAAATACCAATTAATAATTTTTACTTTTTTATTTTATACCAACCCCACATAATCTTAGAGTACGGAATCCAAGGTATCTAAGCAGATCTCCCAAAACTCCCTAAGCACAAA